TTCCTGAGACAAAATCTACCCCCAACTAAAAATCCCCGCGAAGATCCAATTCTTGTCATTCACGAGGACGGGGACAGGAACGAGGACGGGGACAGAAGAGACTCCGTGACCTTACAGGGCCCCATTGACATCCCTACACCTAACATACTCAAATTATTTGAAATTGTAAAACACATGAGTGAATTTGATCTTTAATTAAGTAAATTAACACGTGTATAGGATAAATGAACCTTTCACCTTTGTTTTGGAATCTTTAAAAGCCATCCATGATGAAAAATTACATTGAATATTCTATAAAGTAAAAAACAGTAGCTATTTGCTTTGCATTTGCCATTTAGAATTAAGGAATGATGAAAAGTGCATGTTGCTAGATTGACCGGCAATAAAGGTGAGTCATTGTTATACATGACATAAAGATGAAAGGTAGGGTTAAAGTAAAGCTACATGATATGGTCAAGAAAAAAAGAGGCTTCTTTCTTTCTTTGGTCCTTGGCTTTCCAATTGGTCCATCCCTCTCTCATCATAAATTGGAGAAGTGGGAAGCTTGTGTGTGTGTGTGTTTTTTTTTCTTTTTTCTTTTTTCTTTTTTGCATATGTTAACAAAGGGAAAATGGTGGTGCTAGTATGTTAAACATGGCTACACTTTTTTCCTTCACAAATTTAAGAAAATAATTCTTTGGGGGAAAAAAAATCGTTAGCTAGCGTGAGCGGCAGGATTCGAACCTGCGCGGGCAGAGCCCACATGATTTCTAGTCATGCCCGATAACCACTCCGGCACGCCCACCTTGATGCTTTAATTCTCGTCTTCTTTTTTATTTAACTGTTGCAGGTCCTGCAGTAAAGGACCCTCCAAATCGAAACAAAGGTGTAAAGGACCTACAGTATATCTCCAAAGGAAGTTGAGAATCTGCGAAGAGGAACCGCTGTTGCCTTTTCGCACCGTGATAAATTGGTGAGATCGTTTTCAAATGTTTCAATTTCATATCACCAAATTGAATTCGACATCTTAATTTCAAAGATGTCAGGATTGTTCTTACCTTGCTAAGATGCCTACTCAACCCAAATTCTATATCTCTTCACGCAATTAATAATTTGGAAACACATGCCGTTCGTAGAGTCACATAAATTTTTCCAAGAAACAACTTAGGAAGTAGATTTAATTTTATTCGTGTAAATTGACTCATGATACTAGCTAATTAGTATACAAATAATTCCATATTTCTTTTAGAGAAGGAAAATAACTGATGTGCTTTTTGATTTAATATTTGTAGATTTAATTATTAAAAGAACGGTGTTATAAGAATAACTTTTTTATATTATCTTTTAATATAATTTTTACAAATAATTAAATGAGTAAATGCATTTAATATCATAGGATAATCCACATGAATAAAAAGAATAAATTATATAAATGACACATCAGGTTATACAAAAAGATGAAATAAAAAGATTATTCTAAAATTATTTCTCTTATTAAAATATAATATAAATATAAATAATTCAATCAATTTATATATATTGTATTTATGATTGTACTTTTAAGTTTATTTATTTTTAATTTTAAAATAAAAAAATAATTTTTAATAAATATAATAAGTAATGTGTTAAAAAAAAATATTATAATTAATATCCTTAAAAAAAAATGAAAAAAGAAGAAAGATGCTCGATGTTGCTGGAAGGTATTAGAGGGCTTTTATTGGGAACGGGATTATAATGAAACAAATCATAGCATGACAAGAAGATAAGCGTCAACCCAATATGGAAACGTGTTTTCTTCAGTCAAGATAACATGCCACTGAAGTACTTTCTTTGAATGGAAATCACTTTTTGTGATGATCATTGATCAATGGAAGGAAAATCCAACCTATATAAAAACTCCTCTCTTTAGTGGGAAGCTTTTGAACCACAGAGGCAGCAGGCCATATGCATTTTGGATGGCATCTACAATTTGCAAAGTTGTGATTTGGAATTGGAATATTTGAGCTAGGAGTGATCCAGCTAATGTCAACCATGCTTGAAAAGAAAGAGAAAAAGGTGGGTTGAAAACACGAAGAACGTTTTCTTGTTTACAATGAACTATGAATAATTGATTGAAAAGACCAAGTCCTGTTCTTTTATATATAATATGGGAACGCATCCAGAGCTTTGATATGATAGATTTTAGGAAGTATGAATACCTATAACTTGTTATAAATGTTCATAAATATTAGATTAAAAGAAGACACTTTCAATTATAATAAACATAATTTATTAAAATTATTAATACACTTAAATAATAATAAAGAGATTCAAACCTAAAATCTTTTACCATAGTTCTTATTATTACTTTTTACAACTTGAGTCAATTCAATAAATTGTGAATGAGAACAAAATTTCCTTCGCTTTTGGGTTCTAACAAATCTGTGCCAAATAGTTGTCACCGGTGAATCATTGAGTGCATGTCCTTTTCAAATTCTTTGATGGATCAAAATCGTGCCGTTATTCGAATGCAAAGTCCAACTCATTCATGCCACTAGATAGTTTCTTGATGCGTTCATTATGATAATCTTTTAATACAATTGCAATTCAAACATTGAAATGTTGAGGCCCTCGATGGGATAACTGAATTGATTAATGGTTAAGGCTCCAACTTAAAATGTGGGATAAATTTCAAATTAAATGAGAAATTTTAAAAAATAAATAAATATAGTATAGTTCAAATTATATTAAATTGTATGACTTTAATTATTAGATAAGAATTAGATTTCATAATATTAGGGTTGTCTTTTTATTTAATAATTTTTTATTATTCTCTAGTTTAGTCCTTTTACTAAAATGTATTTTATAATTTAAATTGTATTAAATTATAAAATATAAATTCTTAAAGTGAGGGATAAACTCTTTAATATAAGAAGTTTTTCTCTTATTATTATTATTTTTTTGTTTCCCACCTGGTATCCGAGGTTTCGTCCTGACTATTCCGGATTCGACCAGCTGTGGTGCACCAGAATGGTGGGTGGGTCTCCTAACGAAAGCTGCTGCGTACACAAGGTCTCGAACTCGAGACCTTGCTTAAACTGAAACAAACCGCTTGCCATTTGATCCAACCCTTCGTTGGTTTTTCTCTTATTTTATAATTTAACACAATTCAAACAGTAAAATAATATATTCAAACGCAATTGAATTGTTTTGTGTTGAGTCTGTAATCGTTTTGGAAGATGTGGCGACTCTCCCAACTCAGGACCAATGGACCATTCCTACTAGGCTACTTGAATTGAATGTGGCTGGTAATGGCTAATGGGTTTCAAACTTAGGGCCTAAATCTAAATCCAGATGTCCTAAAAATTGGGCCTCCAAGCCATGATTTCATCTTCGGGCTTTATTTTTGTTAACCTTGTTGATTGATGGGATGCTTAGGAATTGGCCCAAACCAAAATTATTCCATCCATAAACTTTTCTTAAACCCTATATGACAGTCAAACACAAACCTCCTAAAACCCTAAGGCCTAGAACCTTCTACCCTTCTTCAGATCTTGAGTCCCCAACTCGATTTAAAGGACCATCAGATCCATACATCTTTTGCGTAGAAAGCTCCAATCTTTGATCAGGAGGAGAAACACCAACAAATTCCCAAATGGCAAAGCGTCTGATTCCCTCTCTCAACCGTGTCCTCATCGAGAAAATCGTCCCTCCCTCCAAAACCACCGCTGGAATTCTCCTTCCCGAGCAATCCACCAAGGTACCCTACGATACCCTCCTTTTCTTTTGAATTTTCGTCTTTGTGTTATGTATGTTTGCATGTCTTAAAATGGGTGGGGATTTGTTTGATGAATTAAAACAGCTCAACTCCGGGAAAGTGGTGGCTGTGGGCCCTGGAGCAAGTGACAAGGAAGGGAATACAATTCCGGTGGCTTTCAAGGAAGGTGACACCGTTCTCTTGCCGGACTACGGGGGTACCCAAGTCAAGCTTGGCGAGAAAGAGTATGTGCTTGCTGCCAAATCTTGCTCTGTTCTTGTTTTTCTGAAAGCTGTTTCTGAAATAACAATTTTGCTTTTTTATTTTTATGGTCTTTTTTGCAGGTATCATTTGTACAGGGATGAAGATATCATGGGCACCCTACATGACTGACTGAATAAAAACTTTTATGTGCTTTTCTGGTTTTGGAGTAGCTTGATTGAATACATTGGAATCATCTCAATGTTCCCATTTCTTTATCTGCTTTGAAATGAAATCAACTTCTGTTCTGTGCCACTGTTTTCTTGTTTGATGATTTTCTTGCCCACATTCGATATTAAAAATGAAACTATTCAATTTAAATTTCCCAACCTTGTTAATTCCTTTTACGAAAAAGCAGTAGTCATTGTAGATTTCCATGTAGCAAATTTGTCAATGACATGAGAAGATGCTATGTATTTGTATGTATAATAATGGGTTATACTGTGGAGATATTTCAAATTTGGATTAAGGTTTTAGGAGGTGACATACTTCTTTGGAGCGAGAGATGATAAGCTGTAAACACAATCGCTATTGCTATGGCAATTTATTGGATGAGAGTTCATCCAAATTCTTTACTAATTTCTACTGCAATGATAGGGTCATAAAATTGTGCTCACAAATGAGCCACGTAAAATCATTTGGTGAAGAATTTTTTGTCAGGCATGCTTGCTTACCATTTCCTTAATTATTACTACAAAGACATACTTAATGGTGGTCTCAATCTTCTTACGGTTGTGTCAAGAATTTCGAGTTGAATTACATCTTCAATCCTCATCAGAATTGCTTGTGTGATGTGTACCTAAAAATGAAAGTGCTATAAATTTGTGCTAATACGAAATCCTATTTCATAGGAGAATCTTACAATAGTCTCAATAGAATATCAAGTCGCTGCCAACTAGTATAAGAGCAATCGGCTTTGCCACTGCAGGGTTTGAGGATAAGAAAAATTTTTTTTTTTTTTTTTGTATGGTGGATGATGATATATCATTGAAAATTATCTAATGGCACGAGACCTACAGACACCAATTATGTCTTCCCTCAAGTAGTCACACACTACATCAGGTGTGTCCTCAAAGAAATGTAGGCCATTAGCTAGATGATAAAATCTTGATGCCATTGTGTCTACATAAATATTTTACTCACGCAGTGTTAGGGTTGGGTATTTTAAACTGAACCAATGGGTTACTCGAAAATTGAACCAAAAAAATGAATTTGGTTCGGTTTTAATAGTTTTTGGTTTTCATTTTTTTAGTTTCGGTATTAACCGAATATATTTTGGTTTGATTTTGGTTGAGCCTTTCAAAAATTGAAAACCAAAAATAAGCCCCCTAAAAACCAAAATTATGATAAATATGACAAAATATGATAAAATATGTGATAAAATATAATATATTCTTAGAAAAATAATTGATTATTATTTATTTATCAAAAACCAAAACCAAATCGATTTTATTAATAATCGAACCGATCGATTTTTGATAATTTCGGTTTGATTTTGGTTCTCAAAATGAGAGAAAAAAATTTTCGATCATTTTAAAACCGGTTTCGATTTTAACCAAAAACCGATTTTGCCCACCCCTACGCAGTGTGTGCCTAAGCTCATATATCTAATCTCTTATGAAAGCTTTGCATTTGTCAACCAAATGTGATAATGCATTGACCTTAATTGCATTATTTTGCAATCTTTAAGTAGCTAACAGAGAATTCGTTTCTATAATGACTAGTCAAAATCCTTTCTCCCATGCTAAATCCATACGTTTTTAAAGGGCAAATAACTCGGTACAAATTACAAGCCTTTTACCTAATTGTTACAAGAACCCAAAGATTTACTATCCTGTCTCATCTAGGCAGCAGCCCCTGATAGTAGATGCACTAGGTGTGCCTTTTGTTAATCCATCCACAGTAATTTTCACAAACCTTTGCAGTGGATGATTTAGACTTAAGAGATGAATTTGTTTAGGTTGATTTTGTGTCTTTTTCAAATAAATGACAACTTTTGTTAAAAGACGTTTGAATATAGGTTCCTTGGTTGAAGTCCAATGAATGTCCTTATCAAATGAAGCTTTGTTACCATCCAACCATAAAACCCAACAAATAATAGCAAAAGCAATATCCCATTCTTGTCCATTCTTAATCTTTTCCCTTGTCCTTGAGATATTATACTCAATCCACCCTTGCAAGTCATGGTTTGCCATTCAATCCATACCGTGTCCAGAATCCAATACCTCCAAATTGTTGTTGATGCTTGGTAATCACAAAAAAGGTGTAAAATGTCTTCTGATTCTCGTCCACAATAGGGTCAAGTGTCGCATTGAGTAAGTCCTCGAGCTACCCTGACTTTCTTCATCAACACTTTTTCATGTAGTATAAGCCATAATAAAACAACGTTCTTTGAGACATGCTTTAATTTTTCATACTTTTTGCTATCAACTTATCATAGAATCACTACTAGAAAATAGAGTATAATTGACAGAAAAATTTGTCGATTATAAAATCTTTTTTGTCAATTATACTTATAACCGACATACATAATTAACAACCATGCTTGCTGGACAAACTGGAGTTGAAAATCAGTATAATCGACAAAAATTTAACTGTTGATTAAACTACTATAATTGATAGCAATCTTGTCCATGATAAATGGTATGGAGGTAATTGGGCAAAATAAAAGCAGTATAATCGACAACCTTATACTGTCGATTATGGTTATAACCAACAGCTTATAGCTGTCATTTATATAGATAATTGACAGCAATATAGGCTGTCGATTATGTTTTGAACTTTGGAATAACATAATCGACAGCCACATAAGCTATCGATTATAAGCATCATCGATAAGAGTGTTTGTTGATGATGTAGTTTTTTTTTTCTTTATTTAATTTTTGTGAAAACATAATCGACAGGTCATGACTGTCGATTATAGGCATGATCAATAGCCATAAGCTGTCAATTTTTTTTTTTTTTTTGGGAAAACATAATTGACAAGTTATGGTTATTGATTATATGCATTGTAGCTAAAAAAAAAGAAGCTCCAAAATCTAGTAGTGTCCTAATTTTTATTTGTATTTCGAATATCAAATATTTTCTGTCAATTATGCTTATAATCGACATACATAATCAACAACCATGCTTGCCAGATAAACTGAAGTTGAAAATGAATATAATCGATAGAAATTTAACTGTCTGTTAAATTACTCTAATCGACAACAATTTTGTCAATGATGAATGGTACGGAGGTAATTGGGCAAAATACAAGCAGTATAATCGATAACCTTATACTGTCAAGTATGGTTATAACTAATAGGTTGTACCTGTTATTTATATAGATAATCAACAACAATATGGACTGTCGGTTATGTTTTGAATTTTGAAATAATATAATCGACAGCCACATAAGCTGTCGATTATAAGCATCATTAACAAAGAGTGTCTGTTGATGATGTAATTTTTTTTTCTTTTTTTTTT